CACCCGAGTGAGACAAGGTCCCAGGATCTTCCCAGGACCTCACAGAGACTGCGCCTCCAAGGAGCACAGTTAGGACCGTCTTTCTTCTCCCAACCTGATTTTTAAAAAAAAATTCCTAACCAGACAACCGTTTTAACTCAGGCTGCCAACCTTGACCTGTTCATGGACCAGTTCCAAAATGTGTGATTTGATAACTCTCCAAAATAAGAATCTGAGCCACTATACAGGGTTGGGGAATAGTGAGGTCCAAGCGTCCTCCCTTCATGTGTGAAGCTCAGCAAGGCAATGCACAGTATGGAACTCTCTCAACGGCTCCAGTATCTAAAGGAAATCATTTTTGCCATTGACTCCCCGTGTGATACTGACATGTCACTTAAGCCTTCCTGTGCCTCAACAGTCTCATCTTTAAAGAGGCTGAACTCTTTTCAGTCTCAGAGACAAGGACAGAACCTGGACAGGAGTCCATGGGCTGCTTACCTACTGGGTAAGCAATGACCCCATCTCAACAATACGACCGTTTTACTAGCTTGGATGCACTGCCTCTTCCCTGCCCCACTCCCTCTGCCCCATTCAGCCCTTGTTTTTTCTATTTCCTGGGCTTATGCAACGGTTCCTGTGTGGTCTCTGTGCCTCCAACCCAGAGATTCTCAATCAGGGAGCAATTTTGTTCCCTAGGGGACACATGACAATACCTGGAGACATTTCTGGTTATCAAGATAGGTGGGGTACTACGGGCATCTACTGGGTAAAAGCCAAGGATGCTGCTAAACATCCTACAATGCTCAGGACAGTCCCCAACAAAAAATTATCCAGCTTAAAATGTCAATGGTGTTCATGTTGAAAAACTCTGCACCAGCCACACCTGCCTCGAATCTGCCCTCTCTACACCACAAATGATTAAAACACAATTCCATTCAGGTCATTTCCATGCCTGAAATCCTCCAGTGCCTCCCAAAGTGCCCTTAGGTTAAAGTCTAACCTCTCCAGGCAAGTCATGGAGACCCACGATGATCTGGTCCTTTCTTAACTTTGCTTTGCCTTTCACTTTTTCCCCCTGACCTTTCTTCCCCGGAGCCATACCAGCAACCAACGCAGGTAGACCAGACCACTCACAACTCACTCTGCCTATCAGTCTCACCCACCCATTCTTTGGCCTACCAACTTTACGTCAGACACTCTAATCAGACTAAAGGGGAACAAGGCACTCTCCAGGTAGCTTAAAGCCCTGATACCTCACGAGGCACACAGAAAAGTGAGCACATTTTCAATTAGCGGGGCCAGAACCTACTCATCACCCCGGCGATTTCACTGCTGTCTCCCCAACAGGCTGTGAGCCTTCAGGAAGACAGTGTCTACATCTCTGTAGGCCACAGCAACCTGCACACACTAAGTGTGGTCTACCAATTGTATCAGTTGTACTTGTCACAGATGTTGAATTAAGGAATGAATGAATTCCTAGCTTCTTTCAATTTCGCTCTGGCTCAGGCATAAAAACATTAAAATATCAAAATACAAAAATGAAACTAAATTCATCACACTGTATGTGCCAAGAAAGGCAGTTCATCCACAAAGGTGGAGATATCTTTGTTTAAAGCTGTGGTCTCGGCCTCTCTTTTCTTTATATACCAGAGAAATACAAATCTATAAAATAAGTATTTATCCCTACGGATTGTCTAAATCCCATTGCCTGATACTCAAAGACAAGACACTCAGAGCAGAATTGGACTCTAAAATAGTAACAGAGATATGATGGTATCAAGAACACTGGAGGAGATAATGCTAAGTGAAATAAGTCAAGCAGAGAAAGTCAATGATCATCTGGTTTCACTTAATTGTGGAACATGAGGAACAGCATGGAGGACACTAGGAGAAGGAAGGGAAAAATGAAGGGGGGGAAATCGGAGGGAGAGATGAACCATGAGAGACTGTGGACTCTGGGAAACAAACTGAGGGTTCTAGAGGGGAGGGGGGTGGGGGCATGGGTTAGCCCGGTGATGGGTATTAAGGTGGGCACGTACTGCATGGAGCACTGGGTGTTATACACAAACATTGAATCATGAAACACTACATCAAAAACTAATGATGTACTGTATGGTGATTAATATAACATAACAAAAAAAAAAGACAGAGCTAGGTTCACTGTGGGAATCATAACTCTGAATTTAACGGGACTTAAAATGATTTTGCTCTTTCTCTAGACTGAAAAGGTCATTCCATCTACTGGACACTTAACAATACTGTCGTTTTTACTTCTTTTCAAGTTGATTCTATATCCTGGAGATTGATAGGATTTGCCCAAGCTTCAAAACCCACAAGATGTCCCACAAGGGGACTGCCTAATAAAAAAAAAGTTTTATTAGACATTTATAGAGCCATTTTTGACTTTTTAAGAGTGTAACCTATCAGTTTGACTTTATAGCTGGTGAAAGAATTTAATATTCTTCTTTAAAGTAACTGGAAAAATTGAAAAGGTGGCTTATGGATTCTTATCACATATCATGAAAATTTTTATTTTTATTGCAGTTAATTATAACGTATGTGTCTCTTGTCCACAGCGTTCGTGTTAAAGCCAAGCTTAGGATTTAGCAGTGGAACCTCATTATAGAAAATGAAGCAAAATGGCTTTTAATTGAATGGGGTAAAGGGTCCAGGGAAAAGCTTGCCCAGTTCCCTGTTTCATCCTGGGGGATGACTCGTAGGGCCAGAGTGGCCTGACTTCCATATTCCTCATGGAATTTTTGTTCCCATCTAGGTTTCCATCTTTGCAGACAAGACACAGTCACAACTCCAGGCTTGGGTTGTTCCTTTTCCCTTCCTCTTCTCCGTTCAACCTTGGGGGAATCAGGACCTCCAGAGAAAGGGATTTGTATTAAACCAAATATTCCAGGTATAGGAGCATGTAGAGGTCAGGGGCATATCATGGCGCCTATTGATTATTCTGAGTTAAAGCTACTCAGACCCTCCTCTGTCCCTCTGACAGCAGGAAACAAATCTCCCTTATGAAAAACACCCTCCCTGCAATGCAAAGTAAAAAGATATCCTTGTTGGGATGCCTGGGTGGCTCACTCAGTTAAGCATCTGCCTTCAGCTCAGGTCATCCTCCCCGGGTTCTGGGATAGAGCCCCACGTCAGGCTCCTTGCTCAGCGGGAAGCCTGCTTCTCCCTCCCTCTGCTTGTGCTCTCTCTCTCTCAGACAAAAAAAAAAAAAAGACATCTTTGTCACCAGAGATAGGGACTTCAAAGCTGAGAAAGCTGTAGAAACAAACCTTGTTATTTTTTTTCTAATCTACTAGACCTTAGCCTAAAGTCTGCTTAGAGTTCCCTAATAATTAAAGTTCCCAAACACCTGTTTTCTTTATCCTGTCAATTCCTCCCAAATTTATTGTCTCTTTGTCTAAAATGTATACAAATTGCCTGCTTTAATCATTTCTTTAGGTCTCAATTTCACTTTGGGGCCTCCATGAACCCATAATAAAACTTGAGGGTTTTTCCCTCCTGTTAATTTGCCTTATAAATCTTGGTCCAGCTGAAAGACCTCGAAGAGGAAGAATCTTTCCTCCTCTACACGAGGAAGTCCAGAAAAATCACTGGGGATCAGAAATGAAAGCTACTTTTATAACAGTTGAAAAACATACAAAATCAGAGAGGGTGCTAGAATATGTAGACAAGCAACATGGACCCAGAGACCCTTGGGCTAAGAAAACTAACTTAGCATGGAATTTACAGAGTTGGTTGCTAAGACCAAGAACACAGGCCATGAGTATACCGAGACCATTCTCATTGTCATCATCCTGTGGCTCGGCTGGGGATAAGGATGTCTCCCGAGGCCCCACCTTTCCTATTTTGCAATGCTTTCCTTCCACCCATGGAATCTGGGGCATCTAAGCTCTCCGGTTCTCCTCCTAACCATTAAACTTCCTTTCAGGAAAAGATTTACTAAAATTATTTATACTTCAGTGTGAGGTAGTTGCTGCTACTTCTCCCAAGGGTATGTGCATCCCAAGCCATATTCTCATTACAGGCTGAAGAGTTTTCCCCAATGGATGGGATTCGTGAATTGAAGCTGCAGGTGAAGGAGATCTTTTGAGGACAGAGAGATCTGCCCTCTTGAAACTGCCCAGTATCCAAATTTTAAATGATGAAACCAAAGTCACCTAAGGAAAAGCATGTTATGTTTGTGTTCAGGGTTCCAATATCTTTTTTTGAGTGCATTTTAAAAATATACCTTGATAACTCATGTGTGAGATTTGCCTCATGAAGTGTCTCCAGCAAGCAGTGTGGGGAGATTCTTCCCTGAAGTAAGTAAAATCCTTAAAAGCAAAAATAGCCTAGATGCACATATAGTACAGTCCTTAAAAATACAACTTTTGGACTGAGGTGGACTGTATATATTTTAGCTTGTATCAAAACTGTCAGAGAAAGGCCTATGGAAAAGGGAATATAAGTATGAAGAAACACTGAGGCAGAACAGAATGACCAGTTAAAGACACTTTATACTGGAGAATTCTTTACAATCACTAATTTAATTATAATAAAAACTTACCATTCAGCAAAGCTTTCTACAGTGATGGAAATGTTCTTGGTCTGACCTTTCCATGATGGTAGCCATTAGCCACATGTGGCTATTACTTATTGGAAATGCAGCTAATGTGTCTAGAACTGAATTTTTAACTTTAATAAATTTAAACTTAGTTTTAAATAGCCATACATTGTGAGGGGCTACCATGCTGGACAGTGGGGGGGGGGGGATCTAACAGCATTACTGCTTTAACATGTAATTTTTAGGACTACTTTGTATCCATGGCCTTTCTCTAGAAGAAACTGATAGAACTCTCAAAACAATGAAGTCTTCCAGCCACAAACAGCTTATTTACTAGAAACATCTTATGACTCATTCCATCCCCCCACCCCAACCATTACCAAGGTACCCAGGACCGGTGCCTCACTCGTCACTTCAGGGTAAGCCTGCAATGCCAGCTTCTGGAAGGAATGGTACTTACCCTCACCCAACGGAAGCTCCTCTTCTTGCTCACTGGGGGAAGGCAGCAGGGGCTGCAGGGGTTCCATGTTAATGATGAGCTGTTTGTTCAAGGAGTAGGAACTGCGGCTCTGAGTCATGTTGGCTCTGAAAACAGACACAAACCAGAGGGAATTGGTTTCCATTGCGAATGCCAGCCCCTCTATCTCGGCTGGCTACCCAAGTTGGGAACTGTCTCTAGACTTCCACAGTGGATGAGGCCAGGGGTAAAGGCAACATAACACTTAAGATATACAGCCCTCTTGATCCTTAAGGTTCTGACAAAATGTCCATGTGTCCTAATGCAACACAGTGAACAAACACCTATTTCCCCATATGTCACCAGACTGAGGCATACTAGGCAACGACACAGATATGGGAGGCAGGTGTCACTAGACATGCAGAACAGTGAATGAAGGGAATGGCTCAAAGCAATTTAACAAGCACCAAAAAAAAAAAAAAAACCCGAAAACATAACCTGGTCAGACAGCTTTGAGCTACCTCGCTTTTGCTGGATGTCCAATATTTAATATCTCTGTTTAAGACTCCCATTCAAATTCACACCCCTCTCACCAGCCAGCCACAGAAGCTCTGCTTCTGAAGGCAGCATACACGTGTCGTTGGCTGCGAAAGGCAGCAGATGGCAAGGAAAATGTACAAGCATCTCATCAAGACTATTGGCTGACAGCGAGAAGCCCATCTACACTCCCTGCTGCAGGGAGACAAGCTGTCTGCCCTGAAAGACATGGAGGTGAGGCACCTCTAGTGGGTGTTTCAGCACCCTTCCCCTCCTCATGTTTCCTGTCAAAACCCAAACCAACCTACACTTCAAAGATGGTGTCAAATGTCTCCTAACCCTTTGATGCCCCCTTGGATGACCCCCATGACACATTTTCATTCATTCTCTCTCTCTCCCCTCACACTACCCTCCCTTCTTTCACATCTCATGGCATTTGACACCTCTGTCTCTCTGTCTTTACTGGTGTACTAATCAGCCCCACCTTGACAAGCACTTTAAGGGCAGAGACTGATCTATCCATTCTGGTGTGCCTTACAGCACCTCCCTAGGTATCTTATTAAGGGCTGCTCACATTTGAAATTGAAGCAAACGGAATGCAATCCTGGCTTGACATAAGTTGCCATTTCAGATTGACATGGGTGTTCCCCAGGTTGGTTACAGAGTTGTCTTTTAGCCTGGGCATTTCTGTTTGGCATGGGACAGCACATTTATTTGCAGCTGATATGTATGCATTGGATGGTGTGCCTTGTTCCAGTGAGCCACGGTCCTTGCATGAATTAACTCACTCTCTAGAACTATGATTTTCAGACTTTTTTGACGGAGACCCACATTAAGAAATGCATTTTATGTCATTTCTCTGTACACACAAGGGGAGGCACAAAAGTAAAGCAAATGTTTCATGCAACAACAGTAATTCTTGTTATGTGTGATTCACTTTCTTTTTCCCCATTCTATTTCATTTTGTTTGAAGTGCTGGTCTATTTTCATTTCATGACTCATTAATGTGCTACAACCACAGTTGGAAAAGTACGCATCCCATGGAGGAGACTGATGGCCAAGGGTCCTCCGGGAACTCTAAGGAGGGGCACCCTGACCCTGCTGTGGGGGGAAGGGAGAGCCAGGAAGGACCTCTCAGGGGAGGTGATGCCTGTGGTATGTCCTGGCAAGCACGGTGGAGTTGACAAGGAAAGAAATGGAGACAGCGTTTCCTTGCAGATGCAAGGAAGGAAGGGAGGGAGGGAGAAGGAAGATTCCTCATTTTTTGAGTTTTCATGGGATTTCCTCTGGCCCTGTGGCCTTCATGACTGTGATTCTAGCTCTGCAAAGCACATGTTGCCATGTCTGTGTGAACCATGGAGCTTTCTGACCTCAGAAAAGCCCATTTTCCACGTTTTACCAACTGAATCTCTCTGCCCCACCTCTGGCCACCCATGCCCCCTGACTGGCAGCAGTTCCTTCCACCAGAAATGACTGCATATCATCAAGGAGGGCCTGTAATGAGCCTTTATGTAGGATCTTGCTCCACAGCAGCCCCCCCTCCCAACACTCTTCACTTGGAGTTATAAAGCATCCTACCACCTGCCCGCCTCCACCGCCAACACTACAATGTCTGGCCAATTTCCCGGTGCTGGGACAGGCTGAGCTCACCAAGCGTTACCTCACAGGTGTGAACCTGCTGGGCACTGGCTGGTCAGGAGGATGCTGACTCAGCGCCCATGCCCACAGGCTCCTGTTGCCACATTGTAGCAGAGGCCTATGGCTAGGATCAAGGGGGTTTAGGGTCTGCTTAGAGTTAGGCCAGATGAACCACACAGTCGATTACAACCCTGAAACTCTCCAGTTCTATGATTCAGAGCGGAACACTGCCTCCTGATAAGTACAACACTCAGATAAACCCAAGGGTGGATACAGCTAGAGTTCCCCTGGAGCACAAAGAATCCGGGGCTTGAGAGCTTGGTGCTGGGTACTGGGACAGCCAGAGGGTAAGATTAATCAAAACTAGAATCAAAATGCATGTCTCAAACCCTCTCTGTACCAACCCCTGTAGACTACAGGTTACCTTTTCATACCTCTCTCCTTGCAACCTTTTTAAATGTGCCAGCTGATCCCAGCTTCATTTAAAGCAAGAGCCCACCATTACAGTTACACTACCAATAAATATGCCAGAATTTGATGGCTCCTTTTTTAGTTTACAGGTTTATATACTTGACCGTGTTTGTTTTTCTCAGTGTACCTGTGAGACAGGCAAGAAAAAAATACCATGTTCACAGATGAAGACACTGAGACTCAATGAAGTTACAGAACTTGACTAAAGATACTTAAGATAAGCAGACTCAGATCATATGATTCTCAACCAGTGCTCCTGCTCTGCTCTCCACTGCCTTCCTGCACTTTCTGCATGATTTATCCTATAGTGTCCCAGGGAGGACTCTATTCACTACTGCTAATGTCCTGCTCTCTGGCTATATGAGGGTCCACTGTGTCAGGTGGTCTTCTCGAAGACGTGCCAACCCCCCAGTCAGCTCCCACCCTGCCCTTCCACCTGAGCTCCTGATGTAACAGCTTCTCTGGCTGGAGTCTCCCCAAGCCAGGCAAGGGCCTGTGCCATGTTTCCCATTCTCAGAATCTACCCATCAACGGATTCTGCAAAATGCCTGACCCATTTTGTACTCAGCACAGAACAGTTTTCCAAAGAAACAGTCACTGGGAATTCTACTGAGGTAAAAAGGTTTTCTTTGGAAACTGCAAGGACATTCTAAGATTGGCTTCAAAAACTGATGGCATAATATAGAGCAACTAACACATGGCTCGTGGAATTCTGCACCAGTCCTTGCAGTGAAGCAAGTGCTGTTGGCCTGTCATCAAAACTCCATCTGAAGAAGCTTTAATGAGGACAGGTCTGTTAAATTCTAGCTTCCCATTTTTGGATGAGAGACAGGAAGAATATCATCACTTCATATTTGCATGGCACTTTCTAATTTTTAAAGCACTTTATTTTTATGCCCATAACAAAATCTAGAAGTTGGGCAAAGTAATATTCTGAATCTCATTTTATAGATGAGTAAACCGATGATCAGAGAAGTTAAGAGACTTACCCAAGACCATACAGCTTGTAAGCAACACAACCAAGATTAGACCACACACAGCTTGTAAGCAACACAACCAAGTTCATGGCCCCTCGAATGGTGCTCGTTTTAGGTCCAAATGTTGCCTCTAGGTGTCCCCCAGTGGTGGCTGCTGAGCCCAGGTGGCTCATACAGCCAGCCCTAGGCTCACCAAGCTGCAGCCTCTTGCTTCGCTGGGCCCCTGGCATGGATGGGTGATTCCCAGGCCAGGAGGGATTTGCTTGGGGATCTTGTCATCAGCAAAGATCAGTGAGCTATCATGAGAGTTAGCTTTTTCTCTTTTTGAAAAAAAAGAAAAATCCCAAGACAGTGTTCTCAATCTGTGTTGTCTCATTCTAAACACACACACCTCAGCAAAAGTAGTATGAACTTGCCATCCTTTGAAGAGTACACTCTCAAGTGTGAGGAAAGACAACTGAAGCCTTAGAGTGCTCATCTCTAAAACACAGCCAGAGAGAGAGTTCATTACTATACTCTCACTTTTGACAGCCACATCAAAGAAGCCAAAATAATTCAAAAATAATTGTTTAAGAGAAAAAATGTCCTACCACGCAACTGGCCACCGGAAAGAAATAAGAATTTGCGACTGCAAGTGGTACATCTCCATGGCTCTGGAAGCACTATTGCCTCCTGGGAGGTCAAGGTCCCCAGGGCAGCACCTTGGACAGATCTCAGGTCTCAGAAAATTGCAGGCCTGCTGCCGTCACCTCACACCCCAGGTTCATAGGTTCATTCAACAACTATGTGCTGACCTCTACTGTATGCCAAGTGCTGGGTTAGGTGTTGAGTGATACACAGATGACCAGACACAAGCCTTTTCCTCCCACAGCTTGCTTTGCATCATTACTTTAAACAAATTCTTCCTTATATTGTCAGAGATTTGAGAGATAATGCCAAAAAGCTGAGGACCAGAGAGGTGTCCTGAGCATATGGACTCAATATACACATAAAAAGGGTCAGTGGAAGGGGAAGAAATAGCATGTGAACCAGTGTGTCAAGGGTCTATAGGTCCTTGTGTGCAGTTACATCCCTGGGGGATTTTAGAAGGTTCCAGAAAAAGGAAACTGTAAATGGACTGATGCCTCATTTCCCATCCCCTCTAGTGGTTCGGTCCATTCAGGAAAAGATTCTCACCATGGCCACTCTTCTCCCCTCACTCCCACAGCCTGGTTACTCAAAGTGTAGTCCATGAACCCGCCACATGGCCACCACCTGGGAGCTCATTAGAAATGCCAGATTCATGAATCGGAATCTGATTTTAACAAGATCCGTAGGTGATCCCTGTCCAAGTTAAAGTTTGAGAAGCCCTGATCTAGGAATCCTTGATTCCCATAAATTAAGCAAACCTCGATTGAAAAAAGAAATACTTTTTCTAATTATTTTTGATATCACTAACCATCTATATATGATAACTATGGGATTCTTGGAAAGTCTTGCGTATTGGGAATATGAGTCTCTGAAAGCATTTTGTTAAAAACAGTTTCCTTCTTTGTGTTTGTGCTGTCAAGAGAACTCCCCAGCATCAAGTATTTCTTTCTTTCTTTTTTTTTTTTTTTAAGATCAAACACTCACACTTCATGTTAGAAGACTAAAACCCAAGCATATCCCTTGGGGTGGTCCTGCCTCCCAGCTTCTAAGAGAATGCCAGAGGGTTTCTGGATGGCAAAGGCTACAAAGAAAAGAACACAGGCTTAGGTCTGCCACAAAAAAAAATTATGACTTTAGATAAATCTTTTAACTTCTCCGAGACTCACGTTCCCTTGTCTATAAAATAGAAGCATCAAATTAGGTGATCCTTAAGGTCATTTCTGGCCCAGAGTCTAGGAAAGTTCAAATGATACATCTTATTTCCTCTTTTTCATTTCTGCCACACCGAGTAACCACAATTTGTGGTAGAAGAGGGACTGTAAAGACTATTTTAAAAATAAGTAACTACAAATAAAAGACTAGCGTTATCAAGAGGTAGGTTAGAAGATTTTCACAGTTCTGCCGCGGTGCTCCAGCTTCCCTAGCCCTATAGCTTTCTCCTGCTTTGAGAAGCAGGAAAGACCACTTCTGCAGACGTGCACATGACAGCTTCTCACTGGGTCACCCAAACCAGGAATGAATTGTTCTCTGTACACATCTGCATGGGATCCTGTGCCAACTATAGTCTTGCTCTCCTGTGTGGGAGAGAAGTGCTGTCTGAATGCTGGGCCAGGCTGGCTCAGCCACTCTTCCAAGAGACCCAACAACCCAGGGAATAAGGTAAGAGGCACCCAGCTCACGGGGTCATGCTGGAAACAGAGGAGACTGGGCAAACATGAGCATAAGGGAGATTCCTCCATGTCCACAGAAGGGGAAGGAAGGAACAGGTGCCAACAAGTGTGTGAGAACCTCCTAAAAAAACATAACTTAGGATGATCTTGCCTTCAAAAAGGAGAACGTCATGATAATGTTCAGCTTTAGATAGTTAGCATGTTTGAGGTTTAGGGTGTACAATGATCTGTCTCATGGTGATATAAAGTCCAACATGACCAAGAGAATATTTCATTCTCAGAATGGCATATGCTGCCACGTTATGAAAATGTGTCCTCTTGAACCACTAATGACTAAGTTCCTCATTCCTCTGAGTGACCTTTGGGAGTGAGGAGCCCCGGGAGAGACGAGCACTGCCTGCCTTCCTCGTGTGAAATAGTCTAACATAAGTCGGGCCAGTGGGTACTGGCCACATCTGATGAACAGAGAGCAGTTCTAAGAGGGCAGGACGACAGACTCGGCCAGGAGATGACACCACTGTGCCTCACACACACTGTTCATGTGACACTCCGGGCCCAATCAAGCCAATGACTCCCCACAGAGCAAGCAACTCAAAACGAAGTCGGACCGCACTCACACCACAGCCCTGTCAAGTCTGTCCCTGGGAAATTCCAGGACAGCAAAAGTGCCGTGGCCTGGAAACAGATGTACCCACACTGACACAGGTACAGGCATGTGGTGCCCTTACACCCTCTCCTGTTATAGAGAATTTGGCAAAGCAAGCCTGAAAACCTTCTGTCCATCCCTGAAGCCTCCCAGAGCCCCCAAGACCACCCCACTTACCTGTGCACTTCCGGAGGCTCCCTCTGGATTTTGGAGCTGGCCTCTACCACCTCTTTGGCAACTTTACCACTGCAAAAGAAAAACACATCTGTGCACACACACTCACAGGAGAAGGGGAGGGATGTGCTCGTGTATTTTATTTTTTAACTTCACAATGGTCTGATCCGCTCTAGAAATCCATGCCTTCTCTTCCTCCATCAGAGAAGTTACTATGGAATCTGAGGGGGGCCCATGAGTGTCAGACATGAGTGGACTGGAAAGGGAGGACCAAAACAGGCGTACAAGCCAAAGCGCACCGATTTATAAGCAGAATATTCAAAAAGTAAATGAGTGCCCCCACCCTAACCCACCATCAAAATGGAACCACAGGTACCCACCTATATCGAAATCTACTTCCTTTAAAAAATATCTTGCTGCTTGACACCGTCTTGATCTGACTGGATTTCGCATACCTTGAAGAAGCAGCAAAACAGAGGTGGTAGTTAGATTGTCAAGTCTGAGTGAGACATGCTATAAAGTGTGAGGACTGGATATTTTTGACAATAAGAAATAGATGCTACTGGAGGACTGCACGTGTGCACACACACCTGAAGGAAAGTTTCACCAAAAAATACTTTCCCTATGTGTATTACTTTCTGCTATCTCTTTTCTTTCTTTCTTTTTTTTTAAAGTAGGCTCCATGCACAGCGTGGGGCTTGAACTCAAGACCTGGAGCTCGAGAGTCACGTGCTCTACCAACTGAGCCAGCCAGGCGCCCCTCTTTCTGTTCTTCCTAAATCCTGGTGATGGCCCACCCATTTCATTTCAGAATCCATTACTGGATCACGACCTGCAGGCAATGGTGATGATCAAAAGGATTCTTTCCCAATTTCCACTTGAAAGATACAGAGAAGACGGATTGTGTCACATGGTGTCAAGTTCCAGGTCACGGGGGGGGGGGGGCGGGATGGGCACTTTCGCACCTGTGCCTGAAACAATGCTGCAGCAGAACACAGCTTCCCGGTGACACAGGTCACTCACCAAGTCATAAAGAAGACACCCACTGTGTACTGCCCAAAAGAGACCACGGGGCTCATGTCACCAGGGACATGGTCACTGGCTTGAGTATTCTCCAGTGAGGTCACCATGACCCAGTGCCCTTTAAAGGAACCCAGGCTGGGAGATGACTAAGACACACGCGGAACAAGAAACCCGACCAAACACTGATTCAGCAGCTCTAAGCACACCTATAACCATGAACAAAACCACAGCACTCTGGAAAACAACAAAAATGTGGGCTCTGTGCAGGCCACACACAGGGCACTAAATTGCTGTGACAGCTGAGAATGCCTCTCGGCAATCACTTTAAGCCTCGTGCAACTAAACCCAGGTTCGAAAGAATGGCCTCCAAGAATTCAGGACCATTTAAAATATTGAGAGTCCCAAAATCTTAATAGAAAACACACACAGAACAATACGCTGTATAGAATTCTGAGCGAAGACGAGCATATAGCTAGGGCTCTGGGGTTAGAGGTTTCTGTGCAGGCAGCGATCCCGAACGCTAGGCATCTCAGAAGCCTTGGTTCCTTTGTTCGAGCAATTGTTAACCAAATGCTGAGGCTGGTCCACACCCCCCCCCCCCCCCCGCTAGGTTCAGGGAAGACACACAGCCTCTGTATTCATGGAGTGTAAGGTCTAGAAGGGAAATGGATATTAATCTAAAAACCAGACACATAAGTGAATAACTATAAATTGTGCAGGGGGCCATGAAGGAAAAGATGCAATGAGAGCATTCGAGGGGGAGACCAATTCAGCCTGGGGGCCATGGGTCTGAGATCCAGGGACAGGAAGGCGTTAACTGGGCAGCTGGTGGGCAGTGTTCTGGGCGGAAGGCTCAGTAGGCATAAAGCCCGGAGAGCTTGAGCACTGGAGGAACTAAAAAGATCTGATGTGCATTTCCCCGTGTTATTATTATTGTAATTACACGCCCACACACATACATTTTCCCCCCTAATTTAGCACAGCCTGACCTTAAGCTGTCCTAGTTAAGGATTTTGGCCTTTGTCCTCAGAACCATGAAAAGCCAGAGGCACACTCTTTTGCAAAGAAGCCCCTTCTCCCTTTCCACTTCCACAAATGGCCTGAGCCAACAGAGAAGAGCACTGGGGACAAATGAGGAGCAGGGAGAATGAGACAGGAGCGGGGGGGGGGGGGGGGCGGGGGGGGGGGGGGGGGGGGGTTGCATTCCAAGGCAGGCCTAGAGAAGGTGGCATGGGAGCCCTTAAGGATGAGTGGGAGCATATGAGATCCACGCCTGGGAGGATCCTGCCCCCTGGGACAGGCAGTGCGGACTGCTGGCCAGAGCTGGGCTACAGATCACATGCAGTCAAGAGGATAAAAATCCCCAGCAAGCCACGCCAACATGGGACAGGAGTCCCACAGTGCCCTCCTCCTCCAGCGAGGACACGCCTGCTCCCGGCGCACCTGCCCCTGCCACCACCCGCCCCACACACACACCCAGGGAGCTGTGAGCCTAACACGTTATCTACAGAAGCCTGAGAAAAGGGCGGTCTTCATCAACTCCCCACCTTCTTGGCAGGGTGTTGCTCCCAGGCCTCAGAGGCAGGAGGCAGAGAAACCTTTAAAGAAGCTTCTGTCTTTAGGGGCACCTGGGTGAGTGTCTGCCTTCGGCTCGGGTCATGGTCCCAGGGTCATGGGATCGAGCCCCGCATAGGGCTCCCTGCTCCGTGGGGAGCCTGTTTCTCCCTCTCCCTCTGCCCCTCCTTGTGCACGCATGTGAGCACTCTCTGTCAAATAAATAAATAAAATCTTAAAAAAAAAAAAAAGAAGCTTCTGTCTTTAAAATGTTGGTTATTACTGTTCTAGGTTCTAAAGATCCTTGGGACAAAGTAGTCTGCTAAGAAGATAAAGAAGATAAAGAGCCTTAACTGCAGTTTTTAACCCATGAAAGTAATTGTGCCAACCATTGTGCCAACTATACCTCAATAAAAACATTAATTAATGAAAAAGGAAAAAGAGCCTTAATTGGGGTTTTCAAATGCAACTCTGTGCCCAGGTTATAGAAGATACCAGAAGCCCAAAGAGGTGTGGCAAGCCCAGCTGGTGTAGGGAGCCTCTTGTGGGGAGAGGAGGCAGCTCTGCTTTCCACTGGTTGAGCCTCAGCTCTGCTCTTCCAGGCCCTCAGAGGGGTCCACTGCCTCTTACGATGGAGCCGCCTCTTGGTGGGAGGCCTCAGGTGCGTTGCCACCATCCAAACCCTCAGAAGACACATTTTGCAGAGAAAGTGAATAGCCTGCCTGCTCAGGATGGGAGGCGTGGAAACACCATTGCCTTCTTTCTGGCAGCTGATTGCCCATAATGAACATTCGTGTCATGTCGTTTGCTCAGAGACACTCTCCCAAGAGCATGACCACCAGTCCCCCACCCTTCCAAATGTGCAGGTAGACGCCCCATCATGTTTGGGTTGAGAGCTTTAGCGAATAAACCCGGAAGTTTATTCAGAGAGCTTGAACAACCCTGGGAAATCGGAAGCACAGGAGGATGGAGGGAGATGGTGAGGGGGAAAAGGAAGGTGGCCGGGTGATAGGACACACCTCCAGTTGTTTCCAAACCTGGCCATATGCCAGCAGCATTTGGAATAAGGGTTAAAACACCAGTGTCCAGGCTCCGTCACTGGAGATTTTCATCCAGCAGGTCTGCCGGGGGTCCAGGAGTTGGTGTTTTTATCAAACACCCCAACGTCATTCCAAGGCAGCCCACTTGCCCCTGAGAACCCCTGAGTCCCCAAATTCTTCTTGAACGACCCAAGAGGTGGTGTTTTACCTGGAAGAGCAGAGGCCCAAGGTTCCTACCTGCTCTTGGTCCTGTGACCTTGGTCAAGTCATGTAGCTTTTCCCAGCCTTCCTTTCTCCATGAGTTTTTTAAGTGGGGGAGGGTATTACAATACTTAATTCATAGTGTTCTGAGGAGCGTTCAATAAGATCAAGTTATCTGAAAGCACCTGTTCATTATATAAGTTTCCTGCCCTCCCTAATATCACTCTCAAAATCTCTCCACTGACTTCTCACTCTCGAGCCACCAAAGCCAGGCCTCTGGGTCATGGAGATTCTGGGGGAATGATTTCAAACCCTCTGACAGCCAATGAAAGGACCTGTTTGCTCTAACTAGCTGATGTGCTCCGGTGCTCAGTTTCCCAGTCTCTCACACCAACAATGAGCCCGGAGCAAACGTCTGCCCAATGCAGGCAATGAATGCAGCACCTAGCTGAACAGCAAACCTCTCCCCTCCAGCCTTCTTCCCCACCTGCCCTCTCCCCACTGGCACCTCCTACTCCCCATCAAAATCCCATCATGGAAGCTACAGAAGAATCTTCTCGAACTCTTCTCGAATATCTCATGGGCCATGTACCATCCAAAGCATCTCAAACACATTAATTCATTTTATCCTCACAGCTCTCTCCTAGGAGGAAGCAATCCACCTTTTTACGTGAGGAAACTGAGGCACAGAGGGGTTAAGTCACTGAATCATGGTAACAGGATAGAACTGGGGCAACTGGGCTGCAAATCCAGGCCTGTATTTTTTTAAAATAATGCGTTAGCTACACAGTTTCTCAGACTTCAAAGAGCATCAGAGTCACCCAGCACATGTCTCAAAACACAAGTTTCTGCTTCAGTAAGTCTGGGGTGGAACCCAAGAATCTGCATTTCCAGCAAGTTCCCAGGAGATGCTGACGCTGGTCAAAGGACGCTACTTTGAGAATCACTGGATTAAAGCATTTAACCTTAGCCTGCGTGCGAGCACCACCTGGGAAAGATTTATTTCTACCAATATCTAGCTCTGTCATCCCAGATTCTGATTTTTTTTAAATGACAAAGTTATTGAGATATAATCCACATACCACAAAGTTCACCCTTTAGATTGCACACTTCAGTAGTCTTAAATGTAATTTACAAAATTTTGTTTAAAAATGAGAAAACATGTTCATCTCACCCAGGAAGAACCAACCTCCCATTATCCCCCTCATCTCCTCCACTCCCAATCCTAGACAAGGACAAATCTATTCTCTGTCTCTCTAGATTTCTCTATTCTCGACATTTCATACAAAAGGAATCATACAATATGTGGCCTTTTGTGTCTGGCTTCTTTCTACTTAGCTAATGTCCACAGCTTGTTATTTTTTGAAAAGCTCTCCCAGGTGGTTCAAATGTGCAGTCAGCGAGCGCTGAGAACCACTGGTTTGGAACCTTGGTACTCAAAGTGTGGACAATGGGCCTGCAGCACAGCCTCACCGGGGATCTTATTAAAAATATGGACTCTGGGGGGTGCCTGGGTGGCTCAGTTGGTTAAGCATCAGGCTCTTGATTTCAGCTCAGGTCATGATCCTGGGGTCGTGTGGTCGAACCCCACATCACACTCAACAGGGAGTCTGCTTGAGATGCTCTCCCTCTCCCTCTACTCCAACCCCTGCTTGCACACTCTCACTCTCTCAAATAAATAAATCTTAAAAAAAAAAAGGGGGGTGGGGAATATGGACTCTGATGCCCCATCCCAATCTCCTGAATCATACTCCACATTCTCTCAGGATCTCCGGGTCATTCAGGTGCTCACTGAGGTGTGCGAGGCTCTCATGTAGGGAGCTCTCAGGGTCCTTACCTACTGAATATAAAGCTGTTTCTCTGACAAAATGCATACCAGACTCTGGGTAAGACATTTCTTAGAGACTGCCTTTGTGCCCTGCAAACAATTCCATACAAACTTGGGGACAAAGAGCATCATTTGAGCCTCTACATTGTCCCCAGTACCCAGCACAGTGTATGGCATAAAGCAGGTGTGACAGACTCATTGAATGGAAACTCCCCAAGCCACTGAACTCTTCAGTGACTCCATGCGCTTCCAGGGAACCTGTACTCTGGGGGTGGTGGCGCCTAGAAACCACATGGCATATGGGAAACTCTGAAATGGTGACTTGTCTGTGTCGGGGATTCCCTGGGGTTTTGGAGCAGGAGGGAAAATCAGAGTTTCTGCACTGGGCTCCATTCCCAGGCAGCAGATCTCAGAACAAAGGCTTTCAAACCTGATCGTGGTCCTGGGCCAGTGGACGACCAACTGCACGTTCATGTCTTAAAAGCACACTAGGGAATTCCTAGGCATCAGCCACCAGGCCTCCCTGTTTCCATGGCAGGTGAAGTAGAAAAAGGAGCAAACCACTCCCAACTCAGGAAACAAAATCAGGACCTTGCTCTGCCAGCCGAAACCATTACAACGCAGCACCAGTGGGACAGCACTCACCCCTGAGCTTAACAGAATCAGAACCCTTCAGAGTCAAAGGGATGGGGCTCTGAAATCAACGGGCACTCAAAAACCTTTTGTCATTAGTGGAGGGGGGTATAGTCACGGTCACTGCGGCACAACTAAGCACTCCCCAGCAGGTATTATACTTTACGGATGAAAAACAAAGTTGGAGCTCAGAGTTCAAGTGCTTTGTTCCAGGCCACACTGCTAGGAAGCGACAGAGTCAAGACTCAAAGCCAAGCCTTTCACCTCCAAGGTCCATGCTCGTGAACACTAGGCCACAGTGAGGCAAACAAACCACGCCCAAGGCCCTGTCCCCTCCGTTCTGTAGATGAGAAGGCTGAGGCCAGACTTGTCCAAGGTCACACAGCCCGGTCAGAACAGGTGGTATCTTTCCTTCTCCGTAAGGAACAGGGATGGTTATTAGATCAACGAAGGAACAAAAGGGTCCAAGAAAACTCAGATCGGTATAAATATTAGGGATCAGGGGTCTTCATGAGAGAGACGGGGTAGCCTGACCTAACCAAAGCAGAGGCGCAAGGACTCGGTCACCTCTGTACAGAAGGTCCCCAATATATGATGGTTCAATTTACAGTATGTTTAACTTAGGATGGGTTTATCAGAGTGTAACCCCATTGTAAGTCAAGGAAGATCTGTTCAGTGCCACAGGTGCTGACCACTAAACCCTCCTGGTCTTCGGAAGCATCCACAGAAGACTGGGAAGGATTCCTCTGATATGCCCAGTTGGCCCATATGATGACAGGATTATCACACTGACCTCTTTACTAGGTGCCAGCTAAGGTGCATACCCTAAAATATGCAAAACAAGTTCCCTGGTTCCTAGGTTTTTCTCCTTCTTCCCCCTCCTTTCAATTCTGCTTTTGTCTTTGACTCTAGCAATCAACTGACTCCCTCACACATGCTAAAACAATGTGTGTGCAAAAGAATGAATTAATGTCCTAAGTTATTCTTTGATGGAGATCCTATGAGTTCACCTAAAGGATCTTCAAAGCCATGCTAAACTCCTACCAAGAAGGGCTGACTGAGAAGCCTCCAAAAGGTCTGTCCACTGGGTGTTCTCCTCTCCTACTCCCGCCCCTTTCACCATCTGTGGTCAGCAGCATCAACCACACCCTTCGCTTCTCTACTGCCTCTTTCATGATGGCTGAGCCCTCTGTCTGGCCCCAAGAGCTCCTGGCCCCTCCTCTCCTCCCTGTCTACTCCATGTACCCTCCACTCCAGCCTTGTGTGGCTGCTCATCTTCCCCAATATCTTCCACTTTCCTGCCTTGGTCTCTTACCCAGAATGTCCTTCCTCCATCTGAAGGGGACTTCTACTTCCTGGCTCCCCCAGCAGCAAGACTCACCCCTCCTCTGGGGTGCCCTCCAGCATTTTATTTGTACTTCCCTTTTGGTGTCTACCATGAAGTACAAATCTCTTGAGGATAGGAACCATGCCTTATCAATTGATCCAGGAAATATTTTTTGAATGCCTGGGGTCTCTGGCAACTCAAAAGATAAATAGAACTTAGTTCCTACCTTCAGAGAGATCTGATCCAGTATAGATATGTACATAAAAACCTACAATAAAATAGGTCATGATCTATCTTGTTTTGCTTTGTTTCAAAACTCCATCTACCAGCTCCCTCATTTGTGAGAAAACACTCATTCAAAATGACTAATTAATGGTCTCTAAATGATCCCTTGACCAGAACCAGATTTCATTAAAGGAGAAACAGAAGACTTCCAAAAGCTTAGGCTCCAAAAAATAGTTTGTCAGTTTCTCAAAAAATTAAGTATAGAGTTACCCAATGACCCCAAAACTCCACTCCTAGGTATAAACCTAACAGAACTGTCCACAGAAAAACTTTTATATGAATATTCATAGCAGCATTATTCATAATAGCTAAAAAAAAAAGGGAACAATCCAAATATCCATCGACTGATGAATGGATAAACAAAATGTGGTCTACCCAAACACTGGATCATTATTCAGTCATGGAAAGAAGCGAAGTACTGATGCTGCTACCACATGATAAACCTTGAAAACATGACCTTAAGTGAAAGAAGCCAGGCACAAAAGACAACATAGTTTACGTTTCTGTCTATATAAAATGTCCAGAATGATGGGTGAATCCATAAACATAGGAAGTAAGCCGTGGTTGCCAAGGTCTGGGAACGGGGCGGGGGGGATGGAGAGTGACTGTTAATGGATGCAAGGTTTCTTTTGGAGGGGATAAAAATGTTCTGGAATTGGATAGCAGTGATGGTTGCATGACTTTGTGAATTATACTAAAAACTACTGAAAGTATACTTTAAAGGGGTGATTTTTATGGTATATGATCTCAATTTTTCAAATAATTAAAAACAACAGCAAAATACATGCAGGCCTCAACTAGAGGCAGAGCATCAAACTCTCTGCATCTCCCTCTCTCAGCTCTCATGGGCATGGACAGGCCTGGACATGATTTCAGAGGCAGTCAGGTACCCTTATATACCAGTTCCCAAATACCCGATAGGACCCACTGATGTCTTGAAGTGAAGATGGTTGTGGGAAGGTCTTTTGATACATATCTTCGCTCACAGCATTTTGGAGGTCATCTCATCCAAGGGCTTTCAAACTATACTCCTGATGGGATCTGTCCGGGACAGAGAGTTCTCCCAGGACACAAGACTCTCAATGCTAAGCCTGAAGAAGGCCGGGCAAATGCAGACAACTGGTCACCCGAGCTCCTGAGAAGCAGTGAGCAACAGGTGAAGGGTCTCGAGTCCCCAGTGCCAGCTCTGATCCTCGCCAACAACCACAGCTCCTCTATTTTTATCTCTTTACTTACTAGGCTTTGCCTACACTTCTATTTGAGGAAAAGAGTTCTGTGAATAAAAAAGGATTTGAAAAAGATTGTCCGAACCTGATCCATTCTGATCCTTGTCAGCTAAAGCCCAGGAGGTTCAGAGACTCAGCATTTTCAGAGACTAGAGTCTAATGAGCATGGCCGAATTCAGTGTGAGGGAAGACAGAGCAAAGGCCACGTGGATGAGCTCCAGGGGCCAGCTGGCACCCTGGGCAGGGCTGGCTTGGGCTCCTGACTGCATCCCTCACCACTGCTCTTCCACTCAGCAAGTGTGTCTCAAAGAGGAGAAGCTGGAACTCAGTGGGAAGATCCTAAATTTGAAGCTCTCTTGAAACTTGAGAGCTTTGTGGATGGTTTCTGAAGTCCTGTCCTGTCCAGTACTGACTTTCCACGATCATAGCCTCTGACCACATTCCACCCACAAGCCGTTGGCTCCCATCTCTGTGTGCTGGAGGTTTCTTACCACAAACACCTGTGACTCTCTGCCAAAGCTTGCTTTCTCTGGTTGTGAAAGCAGAGTCAGCCGACACTCAGAGTAAGCCAGAGAGTATTAACTCTGCCCTCTGAAGTGGCCTTGAACCAAAATGAGTGAGGAATTGGTAAACAAACAGCCCGGGCCCTTTGCTGGTCAGTGGGAGAATTCTGAGGCAAGTTCTATAGCCTGACAGAATTCCCCAGCAGAGCTGAGCACAGCTGCCCTCAGGAGTGACCTGATGGATAACATGCCCTATATTGCTTGCCGCCCCACCTCCCTTCCCCACCCCTTCTACCGGTATGTCCAGAAATCGCATCCCCAAGAAACTACTAGCACTCAACTCTTCTCAAGGTCTGCTTCTGAGGGGGGCACCCAATAAAAAACAGATTCTGTGACATTTTGAATGGAAATATTAATGCAAAAAAAAAAGGCACCCATTGCAATTCTATGACTATCACCCAATGAGGAGCTCAGGCTTGGCTGGGAGTCGCCCTGCACAATGCACTGAATTTACAATTCTCTTAAATATAATGAAAAGAACTGAATTAAAAGAAATGAATATGCAGCTATTTGCAAAACATGAGTGATTACATGGATGCTTTTACAACCTATGATTAAATGAATAAAAGCTACATACTTATAAAAGGCCTGGTTCTCCACCCCACACTTCCAAAGATGTTTGCAGGCAGCTGGTGTCGAAGTATGGAATGCCAACATGGCTTTTTTCTAATAAAAAAGACAAAACAAGAAAGGGCATGTGAAACAGAATTTATCTTTTTCAGGTATTTACCAATTTGTACCCCGCCCCCACCTGCCAAACAGACTAAAAGTAACTTAGGCATTACCCTGGTCTTAAAAGTGCTGTTGAAATGGTGTCCCGCCTCCCTCACCCTTTGCAGACATCTTGAGTCTAGCTGGGCCCTGTTTCTAACAAAAAACAGCCTCACAGTCAATCCTCTCAACAACCCAGGAATCACCCGCCTCTCATTCAGACTTGTAGTCCTTTAAAAATTTTGCCACCGCTGAATAACCCGTGCTTGATCTAAAAACTAGTCAAGAAAATCTGCAAACCTCCAGACCTAGCCCTAAGGCTCAAAGCTTCCATGACGGCCTCCTCTCAGATGCATTCCCTGATGAACCCAACCTGCATCCAGTAGCTTCATTAAGACTCCTGGAACGTATAGACTCTATTTATAAAACTAACCAGCAGTGGTTGAATATCTAGCTTTGGAAGTATTCTTCACTTGTTTCATAAATCTATATTTTGGCAGATTACAGAGGTAGAAGGAGGTTCCATTTTCCTTTTTTTTTTTTTAATTCAAATTCCAGTTGGTTAACACACAGTGTTAGTTTCAAGAGAAGGTTCCATTTTCTATCCCAGTCTATTTTTTACACAGTAGTATATGGTCAAGCATTGCTCACTGACTTTGTTTTTTAAAAAATTTTTTATTTAAATTCAATTTAGTTAACATGTAGTATACTATTAGTTTCAGGGGTAGAATTTACTGATTCATCAGTTGCATTTAACACCCAGTGCTCATTACATCACATGCCTCCTTAATGCCTATCACCCAGTCACCCCATCCCCCCACCCATCTCCCCTCCAGCAACCTTGTTTGTTCCCTATAGTTAAGAGTCTCTCATGGTTTGCCTCCCTCTCTGTTTTTTATCTTATTTTATTTTTCCTTCCTTTCCCCTGCGTTCATCTGTTTTGTTTCTTTAATTCCACATGCGTGAAATCTTATTTGTCTTTTTCTGACCAACTCATTTCACTGACTTTGTTCTTAAATGTGCAAACCCACTATTTATTTACCTCTAAAATGTTCAGCATACAGCTTCCATTATCATTGTAAGCTTCAAAGTGGTGGTGTTCTGGGGCTACAATACTAAAGGCATGTTTTATGCTTGCGTCCCTCTCGTGCGCACGTGCACACACACACACACACACACACACACACACACACAACTACAGGTTAGAAAAGCAGTCACTGACCTCCTTCTGGGTGCCAATCACATAAAATGTCTTCCCTTCAAACTTCAACTTGCAGACATCCGGCCTAAAAGAAAAGAAAATCTCTTTGGGTGAGAAGAAAAAAAAAAAAGTGGCAGCTAACCAAGGTACCTGTGTTTCCCACAGGAATCAGGCTGACTCGCAAATACCAAGCCGACTGCAACGAAACAAGATATTATCTTATCATCAGTGAAGGCCTAATGAGCAGTGACAATCCCCCAAGTGAATTTTACAGCAATAATCTTCCCAAGAGAGGCTCCAAAGGCAGCTCAGAACTATTTCTTCCATTTTTTACAGTCAAGCTGCATCTTTCTTCCAAGGAGCTCTGGAGGCTTTGTGAACGTTAACGACCAAAACAATATTAATTGGCCAGCCCACTTTGCGAGGTAGGAAGAATGTGATTATTTCAGGTTCGGGTAATGAAACGATATGGATTCACAGTATCTGTCTCCCTCAAACTTTCACATCCATCTTCGAGAAACACACACACCAGGCTGCAAAATTTTCATTTCTGCTGTCCCTGCTCATGGGAGAATAGTTTTATTAAATATTGAGATGCTCAAAATTGTGAGGACAGCTTGACACATGGTAGTCAAAAGAGGAACTTTGGGTTTTTATCTTAAGGAGCTGCTCAATTAAAATCTGCCTGAAATGGGGACCCTAGGTCACCTCTTTGGTGAGCAAATATGCGTAGAGAGGAGACAATTCTATTTTTAGTCCTTTGATCTAATTTCTAAAAGAGTGATTTGTGCCCCTGTGTTTTTTCCTGAGGGAAAAAGAACAGTGTGCCTACATTAAGCTGTTCGAACTTAGGAGAGGATTTGCAAGAGTGACACAGCTCAGTGGATGTTAAAAAACAAAAAACAAAACTAGGATTAATGTGGGAATAAAATTTGTTTTGGTAACATATCCACAGCTATGCCAAATACACATGCCTAGGCAGAGGCTGGAGAGGGGTGGGGATGACATTTAGCATCCCACCAGGAACACCACGATGTGTAGAACCAGAAACAAATGGTCCAGGGATTGTCCATCCTAACTCTTCAGTGGACCCAGGAAGAAACAGAAGCCCAAGGAGCAGAGACTTGCAATTAATCTGCACTTAAGACATGTCAGGTTCTCCCTTAACTACTTCAGAGCTCAAGCAGTTCAGAAACCTGAGGATCTCACCTGCAAGTCTTCTGTGGTCCTAGGTTAGGATGGGAGAAGTCCCCACATTATCCATGCTTCCCAAAGTCAACAGGAATCTGTAGGGAGCTTATTGGGGAATGGCCTGCAAGGTGATTAATACCCTTCTTTCCAAGGTGCAGAAAACACAGGGAAGAAAAGTAGTCACCCCACCATGCAACACGTCCACAAGGTGTCAGAGTTCATGAATCCCACCACTCACAACACGGTTGCATTTGCTTCTCTCCCAACTCCTTTCCTCCCCATATGTAATGCCAGATGTAATAGATTCCCATCTTACGACCGAGTACACAGAGACTCAGAGAAGTGAAGTGAAGAAGAGTTTTGAGAATGCTCATTGTGGAGAAAGAACAAGTGGGTGCAGAGGGGAGCGGAAAGTATGAGCTGAACAAAAGGCAATGACAGAAAGGTCAAGGAAGAGATTTATGAAATCAGAGATCTCAGAAAAAAGAGTACAAGGTGTAGGAGTGGAGTGGACATCAGCTGGCTGATGCTGACCCAGCAGAGAAGGTTTGAAAGGGAGGGGGGAGGTGCCAAGAGGCCAGTGCACGAGTGGGGGTGTTGATAAAGGGGTGCTGGAAATCCTGAAGCTAACAGAACCACGAAACTGAGGTTCAGGTCAATGCAAGGGCATTTCCAACCCACGAATGAAGGTGGATGCCCACTGGCCCATCAAGAAGAACTTCAGGCCACAAGGGGGAGCCCACCACCCAGTGAGACATGATGGGGGAGGGAGGATCACAAACCTGTCAGGGGTCCTCAGGGAGGAAAGTGAATCAAGCTGAAGGTATGAACAAGACTGAGCCTTTACAATATTCCATATATGTTCAGCCTTCTGGCTCTTTGCCCAAACCATCTTCTCCTTGATTGGACACCATGGGCCCAGCTGGTCACCTACCTTGCTCTATCCTCCCACTTCTGTATTGACATGACTCAGACTTTCTTCTTCCTCAAGGTGGCATGTTCTCCCAGCCACAAGAGGTGGGTCTTGATTTGACCAACCCAGTCATGGAGTTCCCACTCTTCTCTAAGGGATTGCTTTAAGTAGGTGCGTGTGAGCCAATCCTGCCCTATTAGATATACCGGAAGTCTCCTACAGGGCTTCTGTAAAACAAGTCCTCCTAGTTTTAATAGGAGACACACGGAAGGGGATGCTCTCCTCCGGGCTCTAGGTGTTGCTGAATGAAGATGGGATGGCCAGAGTTGCTTGCGTGGCTACCTTACGAGCATGAGCCTGGGGACAAAAGCCATTACCCTGGGATGACAGAGAAGAAAATGGAGACCCAGGTCCTTCACGGTGTTGTCAGGCAGTTAAGTTAAAGGATCATGGAAATGCCCAACCTCTGGAACTTTTGCTGTGTGAAATAATCAGTCCTCTTATTTGTAAGCCACCATGAGCAGACATCCCTGTTACTTCGAGCCAAAAGCATCTTCACTGATACGCTGGGTAACACATGACGTGTCTGCAACAAGGACTCAAGAGAAGAGAATGGAGGGGCACCTGGGTGGTTCAGTCATTAAGCATCTGCCTTCGGCTCAGGTCATGATCTCAGGGTCCTGGGATCGAGCCCCGCACTGGGCTCCCTGCTCAGTGAGAAGCCTGCTTCTCCCTCTCCCACTCCCCCTGCTTGTGTTCCCCCTCTCGCTATCTCTCTTTCTCTCTGTCAAATAAATAAATAAAATCTTAAAAGAGAGAAAGAGAGGGAGAGTGCAGAGGAGGGAGCAGGAGAAGAGGGTCCTGAGTTATTCAAGGGAAACTGTACCTTTACCCTGCCCTGCCCTACCCCAGGTCACCCCTCTGGCCAGAGCAGCAGTTGCTGGTGAGGAAACACTGGACACCTTCTCTTTGGAGACAGAGCCCCTGGGCCCAAGACACACCCCAGGTCTCCTGAGGTCTAGGACAACCTAGGTTGGCTTTTATTTATAGATGAATAATCCCTTTATAATGACACTCCATGGCAAAGAAATGAACACTAGGCATTCTATTGGACATTTCCAAACAAAAAACAAGTATCAAAGGCTGGGAAAGAAAAGTAAGATTAAGAAAAATGGTAAGCTAGTTTCCCAAAGAAGTCCTTACCATTTTATCAAATGGATTCGCTTATTTCCCTGGAATACCACAAAGCCTGCTGCAGTGAATCCTAAAAATGTTGTTGTGCCTGTTGAATCCTGGAAGAAAAAAAGGAGAAACCAAAACATTTGGATTGAGAATGAGAAATATAAAATAAATGATAAATGGTATCCCCATTCATCCTCCCCCTGGGTTAATTTCAGGTTAATCCCATTGATCATGGCAATAAACTAAGTTTCTGAGATGGGACTTCCAAGGATAGTGCTTCTAAAATCTGGGGAAGGTCTGGGAATATGCAGCTTTTTCCTTGGAGGAACAGACCTCTACCTCTCCGGGAACATCCTGAGAAAAGGCAGATTAGTCCCAAACCACTATGTCTATTTCCAAGTGTGTCTTGGGGCCACCCAAGTTCTCGGATCTGCCCTGTAATGTGGGCAAACTGTGCTCAGTCATCATTAGCCCTAAAATCAAAGATGCTATGAAACCAAAGCCCTAATTTAACTTGATTAAATTCCACACAAAATTCCCAGTAGTTTTAATGTAAAGATATGTCCAGAAATGCCTACTTCTCTTCCAGCCTCAACCAGGAAAACCTAAGCATAGATCAGGAAAAGAAAAGGAATGATGGCAACAAAAATCAAGTCCATCTCCAAGTAATAAATAAAACAACCAGGCTCAAAATTGTAGATAAAATCTAATTCACTAAATACAATAAACTGATTTATACCATTACAGAAGAGGATTCTGGCAAATAGGCTAAAATAACTGTGTGAATAAAAATAAAAATGCCAATGTGAACAAGTACTATCCGCTCTCTACCTCGGCCGCGTGTTGGAATCATCTGGAGAGCCTGGTCTGCTCCCCCACAGACCCTGATGTCATTGGGTGGCAGGAGTATGAAGCTCCCTGGGTATTTCTAATGAGCAGCCTGCACTAAGAGCTCTAGAACTAGTACTTTACCAAATACTATTAGCTGACCCCATATGGGTAAAGAAATGTTCCGGCAGAACTCAAGAATTTAGCTTTAGGAGCCTGGCTGAGATAAATGGTTAGTTTAGAATTCTAGTTAGTGTCTGGTTAATGCATAGTTAGTTAATGCATAGAAGCCTTTGGGGGTTAACTTCCAAAGCAGGATCGTGCAGCATTTCAAAGATTACACTTTTGACTAAGTCCTGGAACGTATCTTAGAGAATCCAAACCATTCCCCAAGGATAAATAGGTAACCCTAACAACAATGGAAAGAAGAAAACTATTTTCATAAAACATTTCTGGAAAATGTGTGCATCATTTTGGGGACTTGCTAAGAAAGCATATTCCCCAGCTGTACCCCCAGCGATTCTGAGTCAGTACTCCAGAGTGGAGCCCAGGTGATTCTGATACATGCTTGAGAGAAATACTATCGAATAATATGAGCAAAGAAAGCAAAAAAAAAAAAAAAAATTCCTAATGTCAAAATATAATTTTAAATCTTTTTTTTCTTCTATTTTCCCAATTTTTAAGGTTACCTTCTTGCTGACAAGGGTCTTGAAAATAAATCTGTTGGGATCCTTTAAGTTCTCAGGGGTAGAACCATCCATTTGATAAATGAATGAATCATATATGTTAATTTAGGCAAGTGTGGCTACTACATAGCAATTAGCAAGCCATTGGAAGGCTTGCAATGGAGAAAATCAGCCACCAGAACATGTGACTACAGCCTACTGTTGTCCCTTCCAATTAAGGACAATGGGTCAGCCTGTAGTAATATCCCCCACACTAATTAACTCTCTTTGGGCAAAACAATCATTATATGTCGGCCTGCTAGGAGGGGCACTCACCTTGCATGGGTGGGGGTCTACCCCATAGGTTTCCAAAGTGTGAGCTTTCAGGAGTAAGTTAAATTCAGCAACTGGTGGGCTCTGGCCTCTAGAATCACACAAGAAAATGTCAGGTTGTTAATACAGAAGATTACAGAAACCTCAAGTCCCTTCATTCAATAAAATGGGATATCCTACACTAAAAAAAAGAGAGAAATCCCTACGTAAATAATAATCAGTAACACTGATCATCATTCCTCACCACAAGGAGCTCTTTGCTAAGGAATCAGAGCTCATGTTCCCTGGCTAATTGTTCCATAATAAACCTACATGTACTCCGAGAACTCCAGTGACCCGTACAGTTAATCATGGTTATCAAGTTACCAATAAGCAAAGCCTTGCAAATTCAATCTTAATGTGAAATAGAACTCAGCATCGGTTCTTTCCTACTCACTTCAAAAGATTATCTAGGGTAAAGAGCATTCCCTCTTGCTCAAGGTAGAATATGGGCAATTCTTGTATGCTACCAGAAAGCCTGAACAAAGCCATCCTCGTAGGAAGAACGGTCAGCCATTCCACTGGAAAGCTCTGGATTTTGAAAGGAAATCTCAGCCACTAATCCCAGCTATGCCCTCCAGGGTGGTAAACAAGGTCCTGGCTTCAGTGAGGGGGAAAGGGGCTGCAATAGAGAGGACTGTGAAGCCTTTGGGGGTTAACTTCCAAAGCAGGACCGTGCAGCATTTCAAAGACTACAATTTTGACTAAGTCCTGGAACATATCTTAGAGAATCCAAACCATTCCCCAAGGATAAATAGGTAACCCTAACAACCAAGAAGAGTTTGCCAAAGAAAACAACAGGAATTTGTTTTTATTTCCAAAATGTAGAATTACATTGTAGTATTAAATCTATTTCCACCCAAGCATCTCCCGATAGATGGATTCCCTCCTCACCCCCTCAAGAGTCATCATGCCTCTAAATCAAAACAGTATGCCATCTACCTTCTCCCTAAAGCCTTTTGAGATCTTCTCTTTACCCTGAGTGACTGAAATTTCACTAGAATAGGTCTGAGGAGTGTCTTTATTTACTTATCATGATCAGCACTGTGGAGACACTTTTAATCCGACGACTCATATTTTTCCATGGCTCTTTGATTCTTCTCTTCCCAACCTCTGTCCTCACCCCCAACCATTCTTTCTTTCTCTCTCCTCTCCTTTGACAGGCCCAAGTAATTGGATCTTGAAACTCCTAGGTCTGTCCTCCATACCTTATAACCTTTGTTTCATTCTCTAAATCTATCTTTTTGTACTGCATTTTGAATTTTCTTTTCAAGATTTTATTTGTCGGGAGGGTGGGGGGAATAGAGCACAAGCAGGGGGAGCGGCAGGCAGAGGGAGAAGCGGGCTCTCCGCTGAGCAAGGAGCCCAACACAGGACTCAATCCCAGAACCCTGGGATCATGACCAGAGCTGAAAACAGATGCTTAACCGACTGAGCCACCCAGGCATCCCTTTTCTGAATTATTTCTTAATTCGGACTTCCAGCTTACTAATGTAATCTTCAGCTGTGTGCATCCTGCTTTTCTTCCCATTTCTGAGGTTTGTTTTTTTTAAATACCAGTTAAATATTTTACTTCCAACATATCTATTTGGCTCTTGAAATAGCTACCTGTTCCTATTTCATGCAATAAATTCCTCTTAAGCCTCTGAGGAAATCCCACTTTGTTTCCTTTAAAGTCCAGTCCTGTTTGCTGTTAATGCTGCTTTCTTGGTGAGGGTTCTTTGGTTTGCTGAGTCAGAATCTCACATTCATAGAGTTGATGTTTTCTTAAGTGATTCATGGATGGACATTTTTTTAATCTGATATTATCTGTTTAATGCAGTGGTCTCCAGAGGTTTGTAGGGAAGAAGTGGGTGGTGGGGCATGCCATCTGGGAGGAGTGTATGTTAGTAACTTGATTTTAAACTGAAGATTGTAATTCTTCTGGGTTTGCCCACACACACAGGGTACCTCCAGCTCAAGCCTGCTGTTGCCCACGAGGAACCAGAGAAAGAGGTCAAAGCTACACAACTGAGCCAAATGCAGTTGCCCACTCACCATGATGGCGGCCCTGTGTATCTATTGCCTGAAGCGCTCAGAATCACTCCTACCCTACGTATGTGTTTAACCTGGATTTGCTCCATCTGTTTCCCATCTTCCAGACTCATTGGTAGACTTCAGATCCAAAAATGGTATTCTTTCCTAGATCTGCTTTCTAGTACTTTTTCCATTATCTATAGGGCCTTGGAGAAGGAAGATAGCCATATGTGCTACCTTTTTCTTTTTTTAAAAAGAATAATTTTTAATCCATCCTTTACAGAACGTATTTCTGAGGGATTAACTCAAACACCTGCCTTAAGACAATAAAGTCTTTCTAAAGCCTTTGGGCTTTCCTCTTTAGCCTTAGTGTTCTAAAGTTTCACTGTGATATATATAAAGGCAACATCTCTATTTGTTCATTCTGATCAGCACTCTATGGGCCCCTTCAAAACAATTTCTAATTTCTTTGATTCTTTTTTCAAGTCACAGTCAATATTATATCTCTTCTTGATACCATAACAACAGGTGCAAAAAAGTCACCAACTATATTAATGGGAAAGGGAAAAGGGATTTTTTGAGTCTTCTCAATACATAAAAGAATTTCTCCATAGCTCTCTTAAGTTCTAGGAGTAATATCTTACCTTTCACTGAAAAATACATTATTAAATCCAAATATTGGATGCTATTTCCCTCCCCGCCACGTTTTCACTCACTCACCCATGCATTCATAGCACCCCCTGACGAGGGACAAAGCACAGAGCTGAGCTGTCCGGCATGTTACTAAGCAGCACCCCGACTCTGGTGACCCTCAGTGAAGACTTCAGCCTAGCAACCCAGATGGGGCCAAAGGGAACCAGGACCGGAGCCAAAGCAGCTCAAGCCATTAGCCCTGCTCCAGGCTCATCCCCCTGCTTGACATGAAAGGGCTTCACTCTGGAGAGCTGGCCATTCTCCCTGGTGGTTAAAGTGTTAGCACCTTTGTATAAGCTGCACAGTGTTTATTCTTAAAATCCCAGTTTGGTTTTAAAGCTCACCCCTCTTTTGTATTCAGTCTGGGAACAAGTTAATCATGAAAGGTTGTCATTTGGAAGTTCATGTTGGAAAGTGAGTAAGTTCTGCTCGCCTGGGTGGTCTGACCACATTCTTGTCCTTTGTAAATCCGATAGGCATCTAGTTTCTAATCGTAAACACTCAACCACAGATGGCAGCAGGTGTGGGGCCACACAGCTCCAGAGGATGTGCCATTAAACTCAAAGACCTCTGTTCATCGGGATATCTCATTCAGGGAGGGAAGCGGTGAGCCCCAGTGCGGGAAAAGATTTTGGTAACGTGTACAATCAAGAAAAGGACTTCTATGTAGAATTTTTTAAAAAAACTCCTATAAATCAAAAACAATACAATTTTTAAAATCTATATATAACTCAGAAGAAAAATCAGCACAAGACATACATAGGCACCTCATAAGATATCCAAATAGCGTACAACTGTGTGAAAATGTGCTTAACCCCTTTATGATCAGGAAAATGCAAATTAAACCTATGAGAAATCATTTCTACGTCCATTTAAATAGTTAAAATTTAAAACATAGTACCAAGCGTTTGTGAGGACTTGTGGCAAAAGCAACTCTTATACTGCTGGTGGAGCAGCAATGTGGTAGAACTATCTGGGAAACTGGCATTATCTACAAAAGTTCAACATGTTTATCCTATAATATGACGATTCCATTAGTAGTTCCATATGCAACAGAAACTTGTGCGAGTGGCACCAAGAAATATATAGAACTTTCATAGTAGTGCCTTTGTAGTAGCAAAAAATAGGAAACTCAAATGTCTACCAACAGGAGAATGGATATACAATGGAATGCTATATGGCCACGAAACTGAATGAACTAAAGCTACACACGAGATGGGTGACTATCACAAAAATGAAACTGAACAGAAGCGGACAGGTATAAGTGAATACACACTGAATGAATTCAGTTTATACGGCTTTCAAAAATGACTAAAACACAACTAATGTGTTAAAAGTCAGAGATGTGATCACCTTTGGGGAGGAGGGAGAAGGTAAATATTGAGAAGGGGCAGGAGAGAAGCTTCTGAGGTGTTACCAATTCTCTCTGACTTGGGTGGTAGTTACCCACATGCTTGCTTTGTAATAATTCATCAAGCTTTATGTTTATGTTTTGTACAATTTTCTGAATCTGTTATACTTCAACTTTTAAGAGCTCAACAGAAAAGAAAAAAGGTTATGAAGCACTGGGGACCCTCATGTATTGTTGGTATGAATGTAAGCTGGGGCAACCCCATTAGCAAACAAGCTATCACTTCCTAGAAAAGCTCACACTCTATGGCCCTCCAAATTCCTAGGCTAGGAACTCCTTTACATACACTCCCATGAGAATTATTCAAGAAGCCTAGAAATAACCCAAATGCCCATGAGCAGAATGGATACATAAAATATGACATGTTTGCATCATAGAATATTAGTTACACCGAAGCACAAACGAGGACCTATGGCTATACGTATCCATGTGGAAGAACCTCAAACATGATGTTGGCCAGGGGCGGGGGAGGGGGGAGTGAGATGCAAGAATAGAGTATGATTCCATCTATATGGAAGTCAAAAACATGCAAAAACAAAGCAATGCATTATTTAGTGATATATATGAAGTACATTTACAAAAGCAAAATGAGAGAATGAATAACCCCAAATTCAGAATAGTGCAGAGGAGGGAAGAAGGTGATCTGGGAGGGGCGCACAGGAGACTTTAGAGCATCTGATGGTCCTCTAATTCATAAGCAGAGCCAGGGGGTCATGGGCGTTTTTTCAACTATACTTTAAATTACACATATGTTGTATATACTCATATATATTTGCAGTAATTAAAAGAGGAACAATTCCTTTTTAATAAAAGAATTATTGGATAAAATATTGTACAGTCCAAAAGCACTGCTGTACTAAACAGAATTGGTCAGGAACCTCATAGATATGCATGCAGGGCCACTAACAACTAAGCTCTACTGTTCTGAGCAA